GCTTAAACGGGGATCACTTGGTAATGCACTTGGAGTATATGAATATCTAACCACCATGTTGTACCCCCGAAACTAATGCACATTGTATGTCAACTGTGACTAAAAAGCAAATTTAATAAAACACACACACACACACACGTGAGGTGGAAGCCCAAGTCCTCATTACTCCAAACCTGCGCGCTCCAGGTCAGGACTCTCTGGGCGGACTTTTTTCCGAGCCCTTCCCGCACAAACAGACCCAGGGAACGTGTGTGGGGAACCTCGGCTGCACAGTGCTTCTCATTACGTTTTGAATCCGCGTGTTGAGACTTGATAGAAGGTCTCTATTCGAGAACATGGGGTCCTTTTCATGATCACTGTCCCAAAGCCAAGTGCAACGTCGGTGTTTGTCTTCAGCCCTTCCCTCTGCGCCCTGCAGGCCAACTTTCCATGTGGGTTTGCCAACAGCGCGAGGAACAAGCTCAAAAACACGTAGCTGGGGCGGGCGCACGATTTTAACCAAAGGAACACTGATGTCAACAGGAACTTCGGAGGCAGCAGTCTGGCGAGGGGGGGCCTCCTCCCCACCAACACCCACTGGCTGCAAGCGCTGGGCCGGGGGGCACCCACAGCCCTGGCTCCCGAGTTCTAACCTCGGACGGCAAGCAGGCAGGTGGGCAGGGACCCCCAGGTGGCCCCCAACGCCAGGCGCTGACGTTAGCGTCTCAGACTCTATGTCTGTCCGGGGTGATGTTTTCCTCAGAATGGACACTGCCGCTGGGCTCGCCCAGTCGCTGGCAAAGACAGTTACTGGCTAGACATCAGGCCACCGAGGAGACCTGAGAGTGGCCAAGCACGCACAGGACGGGAACATAGGGGCCGCTCGGGAAAGGTGGGATTCTGCGTCTCAGCCAAGTAACCAGGGCCCAAGAAAACAGCCAGTTCCTATTTCTTGTGGCCTCCTCGGGAATTTCCCATAACCCCTTGGGGCTGGGAACAGGGAGTATTTCTCCAGATACTGCATCACTCATTGAAGCCTGCCAGTCCGAACAGCCACAGAGAAAAGGGTAAATGGTCTTTATCCAGAAATGCTAAAAAGGAGCCCCAGGCTACAAAAATGCTCACTAGGTCACAAGACAGCCCCAGGGAAGGGTCTGCTCCCAGAATGGAACTCAGGACTTTCTCCAGGGGTTCGAGGGGCATTGCCTCTCTGGACGGGGGATGAGAGAGCAGGTGTCCTGGACTGCATTGGCAGCCACTTTGTGACCACACAGGGGCCCGGCTTTAAGATGGCATGAATGGTACACGTGTCCCTTTGGGCTCTGCCAAAGCGGCAGAATCAGAGAAAACAGCCTGTGTGAAGGTCAAAGGCCACTTGGTTGGTAACTACGGACCCTACGGATTGCCGGGGAGTGTGATTTGGAGCAAGTCACTTAACCTCCTGCCCGGAAATGACAGTAATAGAGCCAACACATTAATACTTGCACAGGCTCAGAGCAAGGCAGCACTTCCAGAGCCAGTGGCCATCATTGTCATCATTGTCATCATTGTTACTGGGGTCAGAGTGCAGGCCAGGATGCAGCACAGGAGGGCTGAGGGCTGAGCCCGGCGGAGACCCAGCCGCAAACCTCAGACTGTGCTGCGGGCCCCAGGGAAGCAGGGAAGAATCTGAGATGGGCTGGCCCGGGTGTATCTCTGGGAGGAGACGGCACTCCGGGCAGAGTGATGTTAAAGGTGATGTGACCATGGGACAGGGTCCTGAAGCCACTTCCCCTGGAGTAAGGTGCAGGAAATGGGGATGCGAGGCCTGAGAGAGCGCAGAGTCTGTTTCACCGGGGAGGGGCGGGCGGGGCAATTGGTGGGGACAGGATGAGGAATGACCGTGGTTTGGGGGTCCCCACGGGCTTGTCCTGTGGAAGAGGGGTTAGGCCACGCTGGCAGCGGGAGGGGTCGTCGCCGCATCCCACCTTGCCCTTGGGAAGCATCTGTGGGAGTCAGCGCTGCCAGAGTCCGGAGGGCGGCCTTGGGGGGCAATGGCCCCATCGGGGAGGCACGCGAGCAGACTCCAACGGAGCACTGGACAGGGAGGCTGTTGGGGGGCGACCAGGCAGGTGGACTCGGATTAGGCCGAGTTCCTCGCAGCCTACGTCTCTGTCATTCTCCCGAGCCCCAGAGAGGTGGGGCATCGGGCAGCTGCGATGAACCACCAGGAACTGGGCGTCTCAAAACAACGCACATCTGATCTCTTTTGTTCTCCGGAGACCGGATGTCCATGAGCCACCTGGGCTAAAACCAAGGTGCGGGTGGGGCCCACTGGCCTGGTTCCTCTGGAGGCTCCAGGGGAAGGTCCTTGTCCTCACCCCGCCCAGCTTCCAGGGCTCATGGCCTCTCCCTCCAGCATCAAAGCACTGCCCAGCTCCTTCCTCTCCCTTCGCATCCCCCCTGCCCTCCCCCACAGGTGCAGCGCACACCCGTGTGTTTCCAGAGTTAGTTGCCAGCTTCCTGCCCTGTGAGGATGGGACCCCCACCTGTCCCATGGTTTGTCTTCACCGTCCTTCCAGGAGACTCTCAAAACCATAGCTGTGTGTCCAAGAATGAACAAAGGACCCACTAAAGAAAATGCTGCCGTGGCACTGAGAAACCTTCCCCTGCTTGCTCCTGAGCGCTGGTGGGCGGCTCCCCGGACATCCCGAGGCCCCACTCGGCCCCACGCACGAGGGCCCAGGCTGCGGATCAGACCTGGGGGGTGGCAGAGCCTCTGGGAGAAGACAGAGGCTCTAGTCTGTGGGGAACTCCCGCCCAGATGTTTAACGCACACACTCTGGGCGGAGCAGCCTGACACTGCAGGGCTGGGGGGCTGAGGGGCTGGGTGCGGGGGATGGTGGCAAAGGAGACCCTTGTGAGCACAGACATGGGTCTCCGGAGCTGCCCACTCCCCAGCAGGTCTTGGGGGGCAGCCAGTGTGGGGCTGGCTCGGGCTGCACCCTGTGGGTTTTCAGTGGCTTCACCTCGCTCTCCGTAACAAGATTACCAGCCATGGGGTTAATTAAATAGCAAAGCCTTCTGAGCATCTGCTCTGCCCGCTGGGCACTGAGTGCTGACGAGCCGAAACGAAAGGCGCCCTGGGTGGGTGAGGGAGATGGAGAAACCCCCTCGGCTCTATCGGGTGCTCCAGGTGCAGCGGAGCTTCGGATTTGCCGAGGGAGCCCACAGACCCACTCGCAGTGTCCTGAGTGGGACAGGGTCAGATGTCTCCAAGGCGCATCAGCTCGAGGTCAGAGGTGTCCCTGGGTCCTGATTTCCAGCCCAGGGACTTGTTTGGGTGCCAGGGCTTGTTTTCCTTCCCTGTCCCCAATGTGACACTGTTCCCACGAGCACGTCCAGGGGCCCCGGAGCATTTCCCAGGGGACCTGGAGGCCCTGGCTGGGTGACGCCGCAGGCTCCCTCACTGAGGGAGAGAGGGGACTCCTTCATCCAGAAAGTACATCTGTGTTCACCGCCTGTCCCTCCAGTTCTGCCCCATCCTCAGCTGGGTGCCCAGAGGACGGTCCCCAGGTCATCTTGCTAAAGGCGCAGAGAACACACACCAACAAAACAGAGAGGCGTGACTGTGATCCCTGCCCAGAGCCGCAACACCAGAAAACCCGATGACTGGCGTGGCGGGGCTAGAAGGGACCTCTGGCACAGCCCTGGTGACGCCACTGTTTGCAGACAGGGAGTGGGTCCCAGGGCCAGGCCGACAGGGCTGGAGCCGCAGCCAGGGCTCCCTCCCTTCGACAGGCCCGGAGCCATGCTGTGCCGGCTACCGCGGTCCTTTCCCTCATCCCGCTGGTCCCCATCTTTGGTTGTTTTGTTCTGCAGCGTGGGGCTGGCCTGGGCCCCTTTCTGCCCCTCTCTCAGTGACCGGTGACGAGGCTGTGGAGACAGGCAGACCCAGGTCCGAGGCTCCATCCGTCTCCTTAGCCTTGTGATCTCAGGAAGTTTCCTGTGCCCTGAGCCTCGCTAGCCCCCTCTGTGAAATGGGAAGCACCCCCACTCCACTGGCTTTCTGGGAGCTCGGGCGTCGGCTGTGCCTAAGTGACGCCTGGTATAAAGTGAGAACCTTCCTCTCCTCTCACAGCAGCTCCTTCTCCCTGCGGGTCCCACGGTCTCAGGCAGCCCACGGGCCCAAACTCCTCTCCAACCGCAGGTCCCGTTCCAATCGCCCATTTCCCTCCAGCTTTGTGACCTTGGGCAAGTTGCTGGAACTGCCTGAGCCTGTTTTCCCACCTGGAACAGGGGGCTGTTTCCTGAGGCCCCGGTGGCGCAGGGACGGCTGCAGGACTGGAGACGGTGACATCGGCTCTGACATTAGCCTAGTGGCATTAGCTCAGAGTCTTTTATTCCTCACCATTAATTCATGTCACTGACAGGGGGACAGGGAGGGAAGTGTTAGGAAACCCACCCAAGGTCAGTGCCAGAGGTGAGTAACTATGTGTCCCACCAACCATCTAAGGAGACCACTTACTGTGCCCATCGCAGGAGCATGGCCTGCAGGGGACCCTGTAACAGAGCAGCACATTGGGGGAACTGCTGGCCTGGCCTTAGGGCCTGCTCCGTGCGGGGCCTGGGCTGGGAGCTTGGCGTGGGCTAGCTGGGGGAATGCTCACCCACCCCCTGCCATGGGTGCCAGCACCTGCCCACCTTCCAGACGCCCAGTCATAGCTGGTCAGTGGGGGGTGGATGTGGACACCCAGCTGCGTGACCCCAAGCTCCATTCGCTGGTGCTCAATCCGTCACTGCTGGTCCTTTCCCTCCGCCATCTGCTCCAGGAAATCAGCCAGCTTTATAACAGGTCCCCAGTCTGAGGGGACTGGCCGCCCACCCCTGGCCTCGGCTGCCCCTCCCCCTCATCCATCTCGGTCTCCCTCTTGTCCTCTACTCCCCTCATCTGTGGGTCCTGCCCCTTCAGGCAAAGCCCCTGACCAGGGAGACGCTTGTATTGGAAGTGCACAGAGCACCGCCCCGCTTGCCCTCCAGGCATCCAGCACCCCCCAGGCAGCCCCTCCTCTCACAAGGGGTCTGAAAGGAGCCAGTGTCCAGGTGGGCGTGCTCCATGGCCTGGCTGGGCCCCACAGGAAATGGAGGCCTGGAGGCCCACCCCCAAGCAGCTGCTTAAAGGGGCAGCTGGCCTGGAGCTGCAGGAGGTCCCTCTGTACCATGACGCCCTGGCTGCTCTCCCTGCTGCTGCTGCTCCTGGCGGGGCCCCCCACCGTGTGGCCCGCGCCCCCGACCTGCTACTCCAGGATGCTGGGCCTGAGCCGGCAGATCACCCGGGATTTCCAGAGCCTGCAGGCCACTGAGCCCTCGGTGAGTCTCCTCTGCCTGCACGGACCAGGAGGGTCTGTGCAGACCCAGTCCCCAAAAATGTGCCTTTGAACCAAGAAAAAAAAAAGAAAGTGCTCTTTCTGGTCATTGTTACTCTTAAAGGTATTTTTTATTTCCATCCTTTTAAATATAATACCAATGGTTTGCACTTTTTCTTAAGTACAAAGGAACATAATCTAAGACTTCACAATTTTTGCTTGTAACTTGCTAGCAAATATCAGAGGATCTGTTGTGCAATGTGAAAAGGAAGGAAAAACCTCCCATTGAGTTTGGCTGATGAATTCTCTTCCCTGGCCAGTGGGCTCTCTGGGGGTGACTCCCAGAACTGGCTCCACCCCCGGCTGCTGTGGGACCTGAGACCTGGACCTGAGACCTGGGCAAATTTCAGCCCCTGACCTCAGGGTCCCACTCCGGGGTCAGGGGCAGCTGTGAGGGTGTGGAGGGTGACCACGGGCCTGGTGGGGGGCTGCGGGAGTGGCAGCCGCTGCCTCAGTCAGACGGAGGGCGGCCCAGAACTGGAACCCAGGCCTCCTGACCACCGTGTTGAAACAAAGTGAATTCTGAACTCATTAAAAACTTGGGTAAAATTTAGGTGTCTCTTTAACACTTGCAAACACTTCAAACAAAACATAACGTTTCTCAGATGTGGAGTTTATGGTGCCCTAACGATTTCTTTGCATTTTCTTTTAAAGTTAAATAATGTTTACTTTCTTCTAATTATGAAAGTTGCATAGTTTGTGGAACGGCTGGAAGAGGCACAAAGGACAAAGAATTACTTGCAGTCCTGCCCCCTAGAGGTGACTGCTGACATGACACCCCGGGGGGAGTATTTCAGCTCCCAGTCTGCGCAGTGGTATGGAAGTGTGTCTGCGGGTGTGTGTGAGTGCGTGTGCACACGTGTGAGTGCATGTGCACGAGAGGACTGGGTCAAACAGCACAGCAGCTCTGCAGTTTCCACAGTTTGCCGCCATCTAAGTCAACGTTCTTCTGTAACCACGTTCCGCCGAGTTCCTGCCCCAGTTCACCCACGGACTCCTTGGGGTTGCCTGCGCAGAGCAACCTCTTCGGAAGGACTCTGGTGTTAAACCGTGACACTGTGTAGGGGTCAGAACTGCAGAGCTGGACGGAAGAGGCGCGATTACGCATCCTAACTCCGATTTCACAACTGGGGCGCCGAGTCCCATAGGAGACCCGCCCCGGGCCACACAGGGAGTTCCAGAGAAGGTGGTAGGGGCCCGCAAACCCCATGCTGGTGGCGCAGGACCGGAATCTGGGTCCCCGGCCTTCAGGCCCGCACCAAAGTAAAATACAGCAAAGTACACGTGCGTGTGCGCTTCTGTACTAATACAGTATATCATATACATCGCTACACCTAGACCGCAGCTACAGAGCTCTTTAATCTATGCATACACGTGTGTATATTTGTGGGAGTGGGCACATTTACATATATTTACAGGTGTGGCTACATACAATATAAGGCGGTCCCCTAACTCACAGTTAATGACACCAAGTCTGCACTCTGACCGTTGGGTTCCGGAGCAACACGGCCACAGGACATGGAAACCCTGCGCATGGTGGCCTCACAGCCCAGCACGTGGGGCGGGTCCTGTCGAAGGGCGGCCGGGAGCCCTCTGTGCCTGGGCTCAGGCTGCGTCCCTCTCTGCAGGAGCCGTGTGTGCGGTACCTGCCCAGGCTGTACCTGGACATACATGTAAGAAGGGTCCGCCTGCCCAGGGGAGGCACGGGCGAGGGTGGGGGCGAGATCTCGGGTAAAAGTCACAGGAGCCCCCAGCTCCCACTCCTGTGGCTACTGGAGTCCCCCATGAGACCCCTTGCCCCCACTCCCAGAACTACTGCGTGCTGGCCAAGCTGCGGGACTTCGTGGCAACCCCCCAGTGCTGGAGAGTGGCCCAGGTGGACGCCCTGAGGGAGAGAGTGCGGAAACTCTACACCATCATGAACTCGTTCTGCAGGAGGGTAAGTGACCCGACACCACTGGAAGGGCTAAGAAAAGGTTAAGAAAGGGTTAACAGGGGCCAGCGAGGGGAGGAAAGATGACAGACGCTTCCTGCTCTCTCACACACGCACACAGCCCTTCCTCAACCAGGGTCTCCCTCAGTGAGTGCTGGGGACTCAGAACAAGCGTCTCACCTCCACAAGCTCCGCGCTGATTCGGGGACACCACCAGGCCCACGTGTTAATAACCAAGTGACCCAGACTCTGCGGGGAGCCAGGCAGGGCCACAGGAGGGGCAGGGGCCACAGGATCTGAGAACTCCCCATCCCCTTCCGGGGTCAGAGGAGGCTTCGTGCGGGGGTGGGGGTGGGGGGCTCGAGTGTGATCGTGGCAGGAGAAGAGGGGCCGGAGGCAGAAGCAGCGGGAGGCCAGCAGTAGCTGAGATGTGGACGGGCAGGGGCTCGGCCTCGGACGCACCCGAGCTCCGGTCTTTGTTTTCCCACTTCACCGACGACGATGGCAGGACCCCTCACCTCTCTGAGCCAGCTCCCTCGCTTGTGAGCTGGGGACAGTGACCGCCTCGGGGTCACTGGGAGGATAATAACGGTGCACCCTGACCGTGTGTGTCTCGCGGCACTGTGGTAACTCCCTGACCTAAGAACCCAGGACGGGGACTGAGGCAGGGTTCCTGGCAGCATGCTGGCCCGGGCACACCCTCGGGCGACTTTGACAGTCAGCAGTCCAGTTATACTGCATCTGTTCGTGCGTCCAAGAAACGTCAGGCGCCTGCTCCCCACACCCGTGCTCCCCGTCCTTTCCTGCCCCCCGTGGTCCATGGGGTGGGGTGGGGGCAGCGGAGATGGGAAGAAGACACAAATAACACACCCGTGCGGCTGCTCTGACTCTGCACCGTACGCACGTGCGCTCTGGCCCCTTCCCACGGCGTCCCCACTGCCTGGCCTGCAGGTGTCGGTCGGTAATTAAGGGCCATCCGCTCATTCCCACCCTCCCCATCTATCCATCCGGTCAACCAACGTGTGAGCGAACTCAATAAATAGAAAGAAGACAGGAGACTCTGCGGGAACGTGAAGATGTGACCAGCTCTCCTTGGGAGAGTAAGGGATGGGCAGTTGCCACCCCAAGGAACGGTCTGAGGGCAGCCAGGAGTCCGGCATTTGAGCCTGGGCTCTGCAGCCACCCCTGGTGACAGCCCACTCATGGCTCGCCTTTTCCAGGACCTGGTGTTCCTGACCGACGACTGTGGCGCCTTGGAGTACCCAATGCCGACCACCACGGCCCTGCCCGACCGTCACGGCTAAGGCGGCCCAGCCCGGAGCCGGGACCCGAGGGGATGGGATGATGCCGGCAGCCCAGGGCAATGGGCTGCAGCCTCGGTCCCCTCAGGTCTCCCTGTTTACTGTAGCATCTCAAACTGTCACATGTCTCCCCACCTTCTGGGAAGCAGGGCTTGCGCCCCGACCCCAGGACTCCCCTTGAGCACAGCTAGAGGCCTCGCTTCCATCCCCCTTGGCTTGCCTCACCAGGACACTTAGGCTTAGACACTGGAGCCAGCAGGCTGAGCTGACCACTAAGAAAAGCGGACACCAGCTTCCCGCTTCCGAACGACGAGCTGGGGAACAACAAAGGCTGAGTGCCCAGTGCCCTTCGAATGCAGCAGCCGCACTGCTTTCCTTTCCCGATAGGAGCCGGCTTAGATTTAACCCGACTTCTGCTCCCTGCCCTCCTCCACCACAACCTTCCCTAGAGTTACCTCTGGTTTTTAAGGAAACATTACTGCCTGTAAGACCTATTCGCAAGGTCCGTAATTTCACAGCACCGAGACCACCCTTTCCCTGAAAGGTGATGAAAAGCAAATAAAGACGATCCTTCCAGCGAGAAACCCGTGTCCTGCTGTTCTTGTCTAAGGTGGGTGCCTACCCACTTTCGGCAGGGCACTGCTCTCAGCAGGGGGCACCCTTCCCCCCCCCCCACCTTCTGCACCTGGCACCAGCATTTCTGGGTCTGCTTCCACCCCCCTTTGCGAGTGTCTGTCTTTCCAGCATTGGGAAATGCTCCAGTTTGGGCTTGGGGACACGCTGGACGCTGTGTGGCACCGATGGGCAGTGTGGCCTCTGGTGCTCAGTGCAAACACCAGTCCACTGAGTACGTGGAACAGAGCTGGGGTCAGGCACGGCCGCAGACCGAGCCTCTCCTGGATTAAGTGACTTGCCGAAGGTTGCCAGCAGGTAAGGGGGTGGGACTGGAGGGCGCTGAAGCCCATACTCTCCCCAGGGCCCCACCCTGGTTCTCTGAGGCTGAAACAGCTTAATTCAGGACACCTACAAGAACAACTCAGTTAAGTAACTGGATTGCTGAAAATCCGTCATGCGTGACCTACGTTTTGTGTCTTTTCCTCCCTTTTGTGCGCACGGGCCGTACTTTTCAGCCTCCGGCCTCTCAGATGGTTGATGAGGAAGCCTCGTCAGGGTTCCATCTTCTGTGCAGAAGCCCCAGCCCCAGTGCCACCGCGTTGGGTTTCTAGGATGGCTAGAACCAGGCACCCCAAACAGTGTCCCCCGCTGCCCCCTCCCCACCATGCGGCTTCCTTCCGACAGCAGAACACTGTTTCCAACACCCGCCTCCTGACCGGCTCCCCACGGCTTCCACCCTGAGCGACATGTACCTTCGCAGCTTGGTCTGCAATTCCCCATTTACCACCCCCACACCTGTCAGTCTCTGCGAAGCACCCCTGACACATAGCACTTGGCCACCAGGTCACATGTTCATGTGCTCACCTGGTGTGTCCCACACACATGACGGGGAGCCCCAAAAGGCAGGGACCACCACATCTTCGTGCCTGCACCTGGCACCATGCCTGACCTCTGGAGGTGCTCGGTCACCACGCTGTGGGTGTTTAGGGACACTGGACATGGCTTACTGGGAAGGCCACAGCAGTTAAGGTCTGTGGTTCCAGGTGGTCTGTGCCCCTCCTTCATAAAGTGCACCCTGTCCACACATGGCCTGTGCTCAGCCTCAGAGGCCTGCTGCCTATGTGCAGGAACTGCTGATTCTCGCTGATTTGGTCAACATCAAAGCCTCAGTAACTCGCGAGCATATATGCACACACACGTCTTGTGGGTGTTCATTGTTCCGGAGCTCTGACCATCAAACATGACCGGCAGGGCCGCAGCCGGCAGCAGGGACAGCACAAAGCCCCAAGCTTTGCTCCCTGAGAACAGCTGAAAGCTCTGTCGTCAGTCTGACTGGCCCTGAGCACCGACTGCAGAGATCAGATCATCCTGACACCTTCACGCCCGACAGTGGTGGTTTAAACCAACTGAGCATCACTTGGCCAAAATCCTCACGGCGCAAGCCTCACTGATTTGCCACAGGGCTGACGGTGTGACAGCACCACCTGCATCTGCACGGTGTTCAGGTCTGCAGGTGGTCGGATCCAGACCTCAGGGGACAGAGCAGGGAAGCGCCCTGAGATAGAGGAAGCGCTGGAGGAGGCGTTAAAAACAGAAGAACAGAGCACAGTTCTGCAGAAAGCAGCCCAGGCAGCTGTCGCAACTCGTTATTACTTCACACTGAGGGCATCGTGGGAATTATTCAGACACTGGACGTGCATTTTTAAAACATTTGCAATCATGATCTTCAAATGCAGCCCGACGTATTTTTTCAAGCATTTTCTGGCCGTCCCACGAAGAAAGTGGGGTGTGCTCTGGAGGTGCTGCATTTTAATTCACTCCCTTGTGGTTCCAGGCTGCTTGGAAGAGGTGCCTCATTCAGAAGACGGCTCAGACTTTGGTGGCTGTCACAGCAGTGAGCGCCCTCCCCCGCGCCCAGAGTTCTGCAGACCTGCCGGGTCTGGAAACTGTGCGGCTCCTGCACGGCCAGGCCCAGAGCAGAGCTCCGACACCCTGCCCAGGAGCTCCAAGATGCGCCACATTTATTGGTGGTGATACCATCTTGAGTATGTGGAGAGTGTGCAATTTCCAAACTCTTTCCAAGTCTATTTTCCCCCTTGCCAACTTAGCTCTCATGCCGACCTTTGGGAATGGGTGGATTCGGACAATGTGTCTCCATCTCTGGATTTAAGAGTGAAGCTCCAGTGAAACACCCTTTTGTACCATAAACAAGCCTAGCAGTGGCAAGTGTGACAATATCAAGCATGAGTGGGGACACCTGGTACTTGACGTGATGCTGCTGGAGGCGCGAAAACTTAGGACAGGGTATGGTGTTACCTCAGAAATATCAAGGGGTGTGCACCCTGTGACCCGGCCGTTTCAACCCTAGAACATACCCCAGAGAAATGCCTGCGCTTGTACCCCAGCAAGCACATCGACGGGTGTTCAGGGCAGAAAGATTCCATGATGGCAAATTACTGCAAACAACCTGGAAGTCCGCCAATGATGGTGCCCGCAAATACCCTGCGGAGTTCTGACAGGGGTCACGTGGCGGAACCTCAGTACCTAACACCGAGGAGCAGAAGGGATTCGGAACCACCCCGTTTCTATAAAGGAAAAAAGCAGGCAACGCATAAAATACATTTTGGGGGTGCCCAGCCAGGCGGCTCAGCTGGTTGGAGCGTCCTCCGGTACACCGAAAGGTTACAGGTTCAATTCCTGGTGTCTCTCACATTAATGTTTCTCTCCCTCTCTCTCCCCCCACCCCTTCCTCTGTCTCTAAAATCAATAAAAAATACCCCTGGGCGAGGATTTATATGTATGAATTCATATATATATGAATTCATATATATGTATATATATATGTATATGAATTCATACATATATATACACACATACATATATATGTTCAAGAAAGTGCTTAAAACAATATTCAGGACAGAAGACACCCCCGTGGGAGCGGAGGAAGAGGACAGTCTGAGGTGGGCAACAGGGAGCACTGGAAAATAGTAGCATGATTTTTCCTTAAACTCGCTGATGGTTCGCTATTTTGTCAGTCTTCAGGAAAATATATATATTATTTAGTTCACATTTAATAAATAAAAATATAGCATTCGCATAAAACATCAAAGGTTAATTACGAAAGCTATTTAAAAACCAATCTCATTTATAATAGCAGCAAACACTATAAGGTACCTGGAAATATGAGAAATTATGTACCAACTTTACAGAGCAAATTATTATAAAACTTTAATAAAGGACATAAAAAGGCCCTATATAAATAAAAAGACAGGCTATGCTGATGAGTCTGAAAATAACATAAATTCAGTATAACCAGTGAACATCCCAGCAGGACGAGTATTGATATGCTGAGCCTAAAATTTACAGAAAAGTATAAAAGATCAGTGAATTTGGAAAAAGACTACTTGGGGGAGGGGATCTCCCAGCAGGCATCGGGACTTGTTCTGTCATTCCATAAGTCATGGAGTTGGGGTACCCACGCAGGGATCACAGGAACCCAATGGCACAGAACAGGGGCCCAGAAAGAGACCGACGGGAACGGGCGAGTTTCTGAGCACACGTCACAAACCTGGGGACAACAACAGACAACACACCCAACCGCACCCGGACGACCGGCTGGCCCCCTAGAAAAGATGGAGACCCGCTCCTCCCTGACACCGCACACAGAAAGGAATAAGTGAAGCTGTATTTTCAAATATTTAGAAGAACACATGGCAGAATACCGTTGTGTTATTAGGATCAGGGAAGAATTTGTAAGCAGGATCCAAAGATGGCATTCAAGAATGAAAAACATTAATAAATACAGCATAACATTTTTAAAAGACACAGTAAGCAAAGCTAAAGAAACACGCGCACCGACTGGAAAACGCATGTGTTGACTGCCAACTATTGGCACCCAAACTGCCCACAAACCAGTAAGGAAGACAGAGAAGTGCCAGGACCTGGACGTCCTAACCTGGAAGGAGACACCCTAAGGGGTGTTTGAATGCACGGGAAGACGTGGAGCGTTTCCAGCAACAGGAGAGCGCCCGCTAAAACCGCAATGCAGTGCCATTTTCAAGCCACCAGCAGGGGAGACACCGAGCCTGCTAACGCAGGACTGGCAGAAACTTAACCTCGTGGTGCGCCCGGAAGTGTAAACTGATACCGACTGTTCCGCCGGCGGTTTCCTAACTTTGGCAACCGGATTTCATTTCTGCGCATGCGTCTCAGGCGAACACCTACAGGCCACGCAGACAAGGGTGTTAGCCTTTGCCTCGTTATCTGCCCTACCAGAAACAAGGAAAAGGCAGCACCCTAAAAGTCTCCCGGAGGGTGAAAGAGCCCTGCTGCGCTTGGCCCGTGACACAGCCAAGCCATGGGCTGCGCTCATTCCTTGACACAGCCATCAAAGGGATGATCCAGGCGCCTGAGCTCAAAGCCATTGTCCACTAGGAAAACGAGTCAACACCGCAATCAGTCCTCCCTTAGGGTATTTGCATATTTTCAGAGCTTTCAAAAATTTCTTGGGGCAGATCCTCCGCAGTCCCTCCAATCTGTCTCTCGCTGCAACAGGGTTAGGACACTTCAGACCCACGGACGCCCCCTTTTCCAGCCTCCGACCCCCTCCAGCCTCCATTCCAGTCTCCACCCACCTCACCCATCCTCGTCCTCCGCCTCTGAGACCAGCCAGCAGCGTTTTTGAGCCTGACTCTCACTGCCGGGCAGCCACGAGCTCCCAAACTTGTCAGAATTCTTCCACTGCAGTGGAGGCCCCGCGAACAGAGGAGTCACCCTGCGTCTGTGGGCCCCCACACCTACCTCTCTCTGGGCTTCTGTGTCCACGGCGAGGACATGCATGGCCCTGGAGGGCGTGGGCGAGGCCAGCGGAAGCAGCTCTTGAAGATGCAAAACCAGCTCGGTGGCCGGGTCTTCTTCCAGGGCTTGCAGA